GGATGGGAGAAGAGCTGGGTGCGAGCAGCGCCAGGCCAGGGGGGCGGGTGGCAGAGCAGAGGACAAGCGGGGAAGGGGTTGTGGTTCAGGACAGGGCGGCTGGGAGCTTGGGAAGAGCTGAGGCTGCGAGACAGCCCCGAGCAAGCAGGGCAGAGGTGGCCCCGCTGCCGGAGGTCCCGGAGGCTGTGCGTGGGATGAAGAACGGGGATGCACGTCCCGCTCTGGCAGCAGCCCCTGCAGCCGAGCGTGTCCGGTCCGTCCCGGCTCCGGCTCCCTGCCTGCAGCCCGAGCTTGCCTCGTGGCAGGAAGCAGGAGGGAGGCCAGGTCGGGGTGACCTGCAGGGACACCCCGGGACCCACACGGGACCGGGAGAAAAAACGGGAGGAGGCGAGACCTTCCTGGGTGGGTGCACGCAGGAGCCGCTCTGGGGAGGTTCAGTCATTGCAGTAAATCCGGGCGCTGGGCTTTGGACACCCAGGGATGCTGCGATGCTGAGGCTTGGGATGGGTGTGGAGCAGATGGGTGGGGGCCACACTCATCCCCAAAACATCACCGAGCCATGGCCACGAGGGTCAGCGCCACTCCTTGCTGGTGGCTTTCCTGGTGTGGGCAACCTCATGGGCTGGTGGCCACCGGGTGCCCATCCCGCTGCTGCCCGGGGTCTCTCCCTTGCAGGCAGCCGTGCGGGCCCTGATCCTCCGCCACGGGCACCATGAGGGGTCTCTGGGCCCTGGCGCTCGCCGGGCTCGTCAGCGCCTGCCAGGGGAAGGAGCTGCCTCCAGAAGAAGGTGAGGACCACCGGGTGTCAGGGCTCGGGAGCCACCTCCCTCCTTTGCCTGTCCCTGCGGCAAGGAGGGAACAGCTGGGTCAGACCCAGGGATGGCAGAGCAGAGGTGGCCGGGACAGCGTGAGCTGTGCCAGGTCCCCACGTGCCAGGACTGGAGTGGTGGCTGCGGACTGAGCGCCGGGGCTTTGCTCAGCATCCCACGCGGGCAGGGGGCCAGGGAGAGTCAAACCGAGCGAGCCCGGCTGCGGGAAACCAGCCCGGGACACCCCGACACCGCCGCCACGGCCATCAGGGGAGGGACGGGGCTGGGCCACTCTCAGCCAGGGGACACTCGGTGCCAGCTGGCAGCCGAGGCAGCCGTGTCCGCCAGCGGGAGCAGACAGGGCAGGTGAGCCAGGGCCACTCCGGCCAGGGTGAGGATGCACAGAGCTCCCGAGGGAGGTTTGGCCTCCAGCTGCGAGTCGGGAAGAGGTTTGGCCATGATCCACACGATGGTGGAGGGCTGGGGGGTGCTTGACGTTAATTCCTTTACCCTTACAGTGTTTCTGCAAGGTACTTGTTTCAAAGAGAAGAGCTCACTGAAATAATGAAATTACCGAACATCGCAGTGGAACTTTATAGCTAAACTCCCGTGTTCAGTCGTCTTCTGAGTCACAGGCTCATGCCTTAGTCAGAATGTCATCTTTCACCTGCCTCTGAAAATGTCCCTTCGTGCAGCTGGGGACAGGGGCACGACGGCAGAGCCCGGTGTGGGTCCCGATGTGGGATGGGATGAGCTCCGGGCTCCAGGGGAGGAGCCGCTGGAAGTGACGCCGTGGTTGCATCAGCGGTGGCTCGGCCCGGGGGGCCCGGGTTGGACCCTGTCACTGTCACCCGCTCCTGCTGCCCGGCACGGCGTGGCCTCCCGTGTCCCCGCCTTTCCTGAGGGACGGAGGGTTGGACAGGCGAGATTTTCTCTTGGGATCAGCAGCAGGGCTGGCAGAGGCTTCAAAAGGCTCGCACTGGGGTGATTTATGCTCTGCTTTGTGTCCCCTGGGCTGCTGAGGGTGATGTCAGCGCCGGCGGGAGGGGTCTCTGCCCCTGGCTGTGACACTGACAGCTCCCACTGCTGGGGCCGTGTCTGGGGTCCCCAGGGCCGTGTCTGGGGTCCCCAGGGCCACAGCGTGTCCCCACACCTCTGCTGACCCTGGGGCACAAGCCACGGTGGTGCCAGGCTCTTGGACAGAGGGGGCAGGGGGTGTCAGAGGCCCCCCAGGAACATTTGAGGAAGAGGTGGGAGAATCTTTTGCGCCCATCCTGCTCCAGGGCCGGCTTGCGTGGAGGCAAAAGAAATCCCTCTCTCTCTACCCCTTTGTTTACTCCCTTATCTCGCACTTCCCAACATCTGGCGCATCTGGAGGTGGGTCGGTGCTGCCGGAGCCGTGATTTATCCCTGCAAACAGCAGCAGCAACCCGTGACCGCTCCTGACACGGCATTTCCTGCGCCTCAGCCTCCGGCTGGACCCTCACGCCTGTCCCCGAGGGCCACCAGCTCCGAGCTGTCCCCGGGATGGGACAGGAAGGGACAGCTCTCGATGGCACTGGGGGTGTCCTTGGCACTCGTCCGAGTCTCCTGATGCTGATTCCAGCCGCGGGGCAGTCTGGAGGCAAAGCCCGCCAGAGCGGGGAAAGCATTTCACCTGTGGGAGGCAGCAGGGCCAGCTCTGTCCCCTCCGGACTGCTCCAGATCCGCTCCTCTCGGCTCCCGGGAGCCGCCCCTGCCGTGGGAGCGGGGTTTGCTTGGTCAGCGCTGCCTCGGGGGGCTGGCCCCGGCTCCTGACAGCACCCCGAGACGCTCCTGGGCTTGGAGGGCTCCGTGTGGTCCCACCCTGCTTGTCCCACGGTGCCTGGGGACACTGCAGTGACAGTGATGTGCTGGTTTGCCTCACAGGGGAGCTGTGCCCGCAGCTCTGGGACGAGGATCTGGCTGGGGACAAGTACGAGAATGTCACGGGTAAGGAAAGACCCTCTCAGGGGTCCCCTGACACTCTGGGATGGGCTCTGTGTCCTGCCTGCAGGCTGGCTCACATCCCCTGCTCTGTCCTGTAGGTTTTAACCTGATTAAAAGGTTCGAGCTGCTGAAGATCTCATCCATCAAGAAGATCCGCAGCGCCCGGGGACCGGTGGTGCTGCGCCTGGGCACCGTGCCCCTGGTCCAGCCCACGCGGTGAGTGACTCTGGGTGACCCAAGAGGTGACCTTGGGTGACCCGTGGGGTGGCCCTGAGGTGACCCAAAGCTCCCCGAGGCACCATCCCTGGGTGTTGTAAGGTTGGGTGAAGCTGGCTGGGCTTTGCCCTTAGCTCGTGCCAGGGATGCCAGGCAGCTCCGTGTCACCCGTGGGGACACTGGGGACCCTGGGGCTGCCCTAACTCCATCCTCCTCGAAAGTAAACCCCAGGCTGTCACGGATCTGTCGGGTGCTGGCCAAACCTTGCACAAGCAGGGCTCTGGGGCTGCTCTGTGGTTGCTCCTGGCAGAGCTCACGGGGTCCAGATGAGCTCCAGAGGCTGCTCAGCTCTGAGCAGGCACTGCTGGCTGCGTGGAGGGGCTGCTGGGGGGGCACAAGGCCACTGACCCTTGTCCCCTGCGTCTCTGGTGCCCACGGTGGCAGGGCTGGCAGGGACGCTGCAGCGTGGCAGGGTGGGAGCAGATCCACGTCCTGGGGAGCTGTTCCTGCAGGAAACGTCTGCGGTTTGTCCCCACATCGCCCCGGGCTGGCACAGAGCCGTGCCGGGCACGGGGCTCTCCGGAGGGCGAGCAGATCCAGCCTGGGCAGCCAAATCCTCGGATGGCTTCGGGATGGATGGTGGATGCTCCAGGCTGGTGTTGCTCTTGGCCAGGGGCTTCTGGCATCCCAGATCCAGCCTTGGGGAGTCTGGACACGAGGACACCCCTGGTATCCAGGCTGTGAAATCCCACGTGCGCCTGGCCACCCCGGTGTGCAGTCAGGGTGTCCCCGTGCCCCTTGGAGAGCAGGGGGCACCGCTGGCCTTGTCCCAGTCCCCATCCCTTGGTCCAGCTCCAGAGCTGTGGCTTGGAAAGTCGCGGGTGTGGAGCCAAGGCCGGGAGCGGAGCAGAGCCCAGAGCAAATATTTCCAGTGGTTTAATGGGCTGTGGGTGAGCTGGGGAACGGCTGCCACCGCTGCCTTGGGGATGATGGATGCATTTCCTGGCTTCCCAGGGACAAAATTTTGGGATAAGAATACGGCCCTGGGCGCTGCAGCCACCCCATGAGGGACCATTGTGATGACATCTGGGGTGCCACCGGTGGGGACAGAAGGTGGCAGGACCCACGGGGGGTTGTTTGGGGTGATGCTGCCACCTGAAAGTGCTCTATGGATGGGTGCCACCAGCCTTGGTGTCAGCTCCATCCCCAGAACACCCCACAGGGTCCAGCCACCCCAAAACCCTTCCCCACAGGCAAGTGTTCCCCCGGGGGCTGTCACCCACCTTCACCCTGGTCCTCACCTTGCTGCTGAAGAAGAACAGCACCGGGGAGCACTGGTACCTCTTCCAGGTCACCGACCGGCAGGGATACCCCCAGGTACACCCCGGGAACGGCTGGGGCACGGCAGGGAACAGCCAGGAGCCGTCCCTGAGCGCTGTCCCCTCTGTGCCCAGCTCTCCCTGTCCGTGCACGGCCCCGAGAAAAGCCTGGAGTTCCAGGCCAGGGCGCCGGGGGCCAGCTCCGTCAGCGCCGTCTTTGCGGGCAAGGCCGTGGCGTCCCTGTTCGATGGGAGGTGGCACAAGGTGGTGGTGGCCGTGCAGGGCCACGCTGTGTCCGTGCACCTGGACTGCTCCTCCATCTCCTCCAAGCCGCTGGGACCGCGGCAGGCGCT